AGCTTCCTCTTAACTCTTTTTCTATTCCACAAGTCTTCCTTTTGAACCCAGGGCTTGGATGCTGTCCCTAAGCTTTTTGCTCAAGGCTAGCACTCTACCACTTGAACCACAGCTCCAATTCTGGCTTTTTTCATGGTTAATTGGGGATGAGTCTTATAGACTTCCTGCCAAGGCTGGCTTTGAATGACGATTCTCAGATCTCAGCCTCCTGAGTAGTTAGATTACAGGCGTGAGCCACTGGCACCTCGCTATGGCTCCTTCTCCTCCTCCTCCTCCTCCTGTCTTGCTATAAAGCCCAGACTAGCCTGGAACTCCTAATCTTCTCATCTTCCTGCTTCAGCCTCCTGAGTGCTGGAATTATAGGTGTATGCTACAGTATCTGGCTATTTTTATTTTTTAACTCTTTTTAGTTAGTTATCTCTTCCACCCCCCACCCCCCAAACACTGGGGCTTGAACTCAGGGCCTACGCATTGTCGTTAGCTTTTTCATTCAAGGCTGGACTCTACCACTTTTTGCTGGTTATTTGAAGATAAGTGAAAGAGGATCCCACACTCCATCCCAGGGGACTACACAGAGGCAGGGAGGCAGGCACAGGAGAAAGATTATTATAAGGTTTATTAGAGGAGCCATATTTCCCCTAAGAGGGAGCACATGGCCTCCGCCACCATCCAGGTAGCAGGAGGGTCTGAGGGATAGGAAGTGAGATAGATGGGAGTTCAGGTGGGTCTGGGAGAGAGGGAGGGGCCAGCTGAATGGAGGAAATTCCAGGAATGGGGGGGGGGCCTAGATTTGGGTGCAGCTGAGGATCAAAGGTGAGCATAATACTAACAAAGAGTCTCTGGGCTTTCTTGTCTACACTGGCTTTGAATCACAATCTTCAGATCTCAGCCTCCTGAGTACCTAGGATTGCAGTTGCCCAGCCTCACAACTTTATCTCTTTAGAGCTGGAGGAATCAAAGCTTCTTCCTGTCATCTAGTCCTCTATGCCAGCTCTTTTTCCTCAGGGTTCTTATATCTGTTCTTATCCTTCCTTTTCTTATTATCTTCATCTTTTTCTCTCCTAAGTCCTTCTCCCACCCCTTGCTGGAAACTCTCATCTTTTAGAAATGACAAAAAGAAATTGTTTTCCTTTCCCTGGTGTGGATATTCTTCCAGTGTTCCGTGTATGGAACTGCTTTCTAGCTTTAATCCAGATCTAGGTCTACTTAACAAGTTACAGATGCATCTGGTTCTGGATGGTAAGAATTTCAGGGAAAGGAAAGAGCACTGATGACTTATTGCAGAGAAGATGAAAGGGAATACAAGGACCCTGGGATGGAAGAAGATAGAAAAAAACTACATGACTCATCTGAGCTTGACATATCCCAACCTCTGCCTCAGTTGCCTCAATGCTGATAGCATCAATAACCTAGAAACCTGGGAAGAGACACAACAGGCCAATGTACTCCATGTCTTCTTTCTTACAGTCATACACATCCTCCATACCAGAAATCACACTCTAGCTTCCATATAATTGTGTTCTTTTCAATTCATCCCTGCCAGATTCCTGTCAAGGTAACTTAAGTTGGACATAGCAGAGAATCAGTAGGATGTAGCATATCTTCTGTTTATTACTCTAGGTCTCCATATTATATGCTGTGTCCCATGAGGTTAGCCTGTCTGCCGTATAAAGCAGATATTTCTGTGCTTTGGTTTCTGTTTGGATTTACCAGTAAGATATGGGAAGCAGATAAAAGATAAGAAGGAAAGAGGTTATTCTCTGTGCTCCTTCTTGTAGGTTGGTGCACTTGCAGGTTGGTAGCATCCCTCTACTAGTGCCAACCTCTGATTTGATGGCTCCTCTAGTTTCTGGTAACTGCTCTCCTCTCTTCAGCCTAGGTAAAAGTCTAATTATAATCACTTAAGGTATTGCATCTTGCTTTGTTCAAATGCCGCCTACACTTTACTAAATATTCCCTTTATCAAACCTGCCTTTTAATTACCCAGTGTACCACTGTATGTGCTTTGTTCTGGGATCCTAACATATGAATGGAAGATAGGAGGGGAGATAAAGGTAAGAAGGAGGAGAATTCTGAACTTTTTGCTGAATGATAAACAGGGATTTGAAGCCCAGCTGCCAGGTAACCAAGTTATTTAATTATGCTGAATGCTAGTTTGCCTAGACTTACTAGAGTACGGGTAAGACTTAGCTGTTGGGTGGTAGTAGGGGGTGGGCAGTGAAGGTGAGATGATATTTATGAAAGCACAGTGTCTGACACGTAGCTGGCGTTTAATTAGAAACACGCTGGGCACTGTTCTGAGTGTATTACATGTTCCTGAATTTCATACTGAAGAGAAACAATAAAAGGTTTTTTTCTCCCCACAAGACTCTCTCTTCTCTTTCTAACCATCTATCTACTATATGTCTATTTTTGTCTGAGGCTTGCCTTCTCACCATTCCCTGTGTGTATAAACTGGGTTTGTATTTTCTACTTGGTAGGAAAGGAAACAAGATATAAAGAAGCCAAGCAGGAGAAATAGGTAAGGAGACAGGGAAATGGTATTCTTTTTAATAAACATAAAAGGGCAAGATTCAGGCTGGTATGTGGCTTAATGGTAGTGCTTGCCTAGCATGCATAAAGCCCTGGGTTTGATTCCTCAGTACCAAATAAACAGAAAAAGCCATAAGTGGCACTGTGGGTCAAGTGGTAGAGTACTAGCCTTGAACAAAAGAAGCTCAGGGACAGTGTCCAGGCCTTGAGGACTGGCAAAAAAAAAAAGGCAAGACTGAACACAGAAGCAAGCAACAAAGTTAAACATTTCTCCATTTCAATGCTAAATTACAGAGCAGGGGGTGGGAGGAGGTGGGGAGGAGGCTGGTGGTATTATCTATGTAAATCTGTCCTCTCCTTTGAAAACCTGGCAACTCTGGGCAGATGCAAGTAAAGACAGAAAAGATAAAAAGCTAATCTGAGAAAAGGAAATTTAGTTAACTGCCAGCCCATAATGCCTATGTTTGGGTAGTCCCCAAAACATCTTGATATTTTAGAATAAGTGGAACCTATCTTGTCTACCCAGAACCATTGCCTAAGTATTGGGGGCTGCTTAGAAAACTGTTAGGTCCACCCAGGGAGAAAAATGGACCCTTTCCTAGCTGTCCTTGCCCCACCCAGGTAACTGGCCCACCTGTGGGCAGTAGGAGGTGCCTCCAGGTCATGGCTGAGATCACGAGTCTCCTACCACGCCCTTTGCTGTGGCCACACCTCCTTCCTGCTCTCTTCCTGTGTAGTCAGTCTCCATCATTAGTTCCTCCTTTCCTTTCCCTTCCCCTGCATCCCTTGCATCCCCTGTACCCTCCATCTGGTACAGCCCCCGCATACCTTTATCTTGTGCAGGCCAACAGTATGCTCTCCCCCCAATAAACTCTTCTGCCTGACAGTCTCTTTCCGGGGAACCTTACATTATGTTGGTGAACCTTACAAGAACCATGTGTATTACCCCAATTTAAGATTATGGCTTCCATTTGGATTGTTTGTAACTCCTGTTTCCTAACATGGGGAGCAGGAAGAGACAGGACAGGCTAATGCATTTATTTAACCTTGCTATACTAGACTATTTTAGTATAAAGAAACCTTAACCTTACTTTTACCTTGTTATACTAAAATAAACCTTTGCTAAAACTTTCACCTAGTGCAGCTCTCTGAACATTATTTTTCACCTGTGGATCTCAAGGACCTATGATTCTGTGAGGAAATTGGGGAGATGAAGGAATCCTTCATCCATCTTCCATTGACAGATTCAGGAGACCTTGACCATGTTCAGGATATTCGGATTTCCACATTTAAAATATAACAAGACAAATTGGTAAGGGTGTGTCTGCTTCCAGTGGGTACCTTTTCTTTCCCAGTTCTTCACCTGTGTGCCAGGAGGGGAAGGGGGCTGTAAGGGTTACCCAAACTGAAAGACAACTGGTAGGGCAGGAAGAAGGAAAGCCACCGATGTGGCTTCTCCGCTCTCAAAACATAACTGTTTTTTAATCCTTCAGCATGAGACAGCCAGAAAGAGACAGAGGTTCAAAGAACAATAGTGTTCCTCAAGACACAGAGGGCTCAATGTGAAAATAGGAACTTGATGAAACAGACTCCATTTTGTCTGATGAGTCTGCTGGGTACATTGTTGATGGCTGACAGCTGGTACTGGGAGTGGGGTGAGACAGTTAATGTAGGAAAAATATGACTTCTGCATTTTTGTGCTGGTACTTGGGCTTGAACTCAGGGCCTATGCACTGTCCCTTATTTTTTGTGTAAGGTTGACATTCTTCCACTTGAGCCACAGCTCCACTTCCAGCTTTTTGGTAATTACTGGAGATAAGGGTCTCACAGATTTTTCTGCCTGGGCTGAGTTTGAACCAAGATAACTCAAGATATCAGCCTCCTGTATAGCTAGGATTACAGTCATGATCCACGCACCACAGTCATGGTGCCTGGTTGATTTCCCCTGCTTTCTGCTTTGAAATCGGTTTCATCCTAAATGCTGGGAGTGCTGGCTGAACTACTATGGGTAAGGGGGAAGAGGCTTTTAAAAATTGCAACAATGCACCAGGTACCAGTGTCTTATGCCTGTAACCTTAGCTACTCAGGAGGCTGAGATCTGAGGGTTGGGATTTGAAGCCAGCCTGGGCAAGAGTAAACTACTAAAAAGCTGGAATTGGAGCTGTGGCCCAAATGGTATAGCACTAACTTTGAACAAAAAAAGTCCAGGGACAACACCTAGGCCCTGAGTTTAAGCCCCAGGATTGGTATGTGGGCACACACACACACACACACACACACACACACACACACACACACATTCAACAACGTTTTCATGCCTAAGGCATGACTTGTCATTGGCTATAGAACTCCAATTCCAAGAGAAAACATTGTATTCAACTTTCTACTCCTCTACTTCCCCTACAGGGCAGCTTCTAGGCAGTTGGGAGAAATGAAATACAATATAGCTGAAGGGAAAGGGTCAAAAGGGCATTTTATTAACACATAGCAGCATAAACAGGAGAAAAGTCAAATCTGAAATGATAACATTTTTGTCAGTTCTCCACATAAACATAGAATCTAAATATTCCATACTCAGTTCTGATGACAAATGGCTTCTTAGGTAGATAAAAGGTAGGGTCCAGTCCCTGGGGAGTGATACAGCTTGTGAATGTTCTTTAGTCTCACAAGAAAAAAAAAGTCTGAGGGCCAAAGCCACAGAGTTGTCTCTTGGTGGTAGGGAGGAGTCCTCTTAGATAGCTCTATCACAACAAGCAGGACTCTTTCAGGCCCATAAGGCAATAATGGCCATGAAGGTGAAACCAGCAGCCACACAGCACCACTTAGTCAGAGGGGCACCAGGACCAGCTAGCTCCCGGGGTAGAATTTCTAGGAAGGTGACATACAGGAATGTGCCAGCTGCCACACCCTCTAATACAGCTTGGGCTAAACCCTGACCTCCTTCAGAATCCCCAGTAGCCACACTCATCCCTAAAGCTAGGCCCAAGGGGGACATGAGAGCTAATGACAGTATGGAAAATGCAGCCCACCGTGATCCAGTGCCTAACTTCACCAGCCGAAGTCCTACACCAAACACTACAAGACCTTTATGAGCCAGAACAGCAACACAGAGTTGTATGGTAGCTGCTATTGTTGTCTGTAGCCCCACAGCTAGACCTTCAAACACTGAGTGAAAGGAGAGTGAGAGCAAGAGGACAAGGGCTCGAAGGGGGCCCCGTGGGGGTGAGGGTAGAGGTGAATGGCTGTGGAATCCAAAAACAGAAGATCCACTCCATTCCTCCTCCTGCAGAGTTGATCCTTCAGCAGCCCCAGGACAGCACTGGAATGCAAGTGACTCCAAAAGGAAGACCAAGAAAAAGCCAAGGGAGATGATAAGCTCTCCATAGGGATACTCCACCTAGGAACAGAAAGGGGGCTGTGAGCTGGTAGGCAAGGAAGACAGTATATAGATGGATATGGGATTGGGAAGTTAAGGGTAGGAAAATGAAGACTGGAGTAGAGGTGCTAAGCAACACAGTATCCATAGAGTGCGAAATATAGGAAAACAAGCCTGGCCCCCATGGTGAGATCTGAGTATCACAGTTTGAAGGCAGCCAAGTCAGGAAAACCTGACTCTTATTTCCAATTAACCACCAAAAAGGTGGAAGTGGCACTGTGACTCAAGTGGTAAAGTGCCAGCCTTGAGCAGTTAAAGCTAAGTGACAGTGTCCAGGTCCTGAGTTCAAACCCCAGTCAGTATTGGCACACACACATATGTATATATAATATATATGCATATATATTATCAGTTAAAAGAATATAAGAAAAGAAGGAAAAGCAAAACCTTTTCTAGGACTTCACAAAGAAAATGGATTGGACTGGCTCCTCCTTTCCTCTATAGTATCTGAGCTGAGAAGGGCATCTTGGTATTTTTCACATATTCCCCTAAGAAAACATCTGAGTATGGGCTGGGAAGGTGGCTCAGTGGTAGAGCGCTTGCCTTGCAAGCATGAGGCCCTGGGTTCGATTCCTCAGCACCACATAAGCAAAACGAAAAAAGCCGGAAGTGGCACTGTGGTTCAAGTGGTAGAGCAGTAGCCTTGAGCTGAAGAGCTGAGGGACAGTGCCTAGGCCCAGAGTTCAGGCCCACGACCGGACCCCCCAAAAAAAAAAAAAAAAGAAAACATCTGAGTATGAAAGGAATCTCTGGTTCTCCTCACCTCCCAAGGACTGGTGTGAGATACTCACATGAGTGGAATCAGCAGTATCAGAAGAATTTCCTTTACTTTCTGTACTGTTCTAGGAAGAAACAAACAGAAATTAGGTGGGAGGTGGCATAGCTCACCTTCCTGCTCTGACCTTTCAGCAGTACTGTTTTCCTTAACGTCCAATCGGACCTGTTTTCATCATTCTCCATAACCCCAAGAACTGTTATCCACTCTGTCATCTTACCCTTGTCTTTGGTCCCAACATTTTCTTCCTTTCCATTCCTAGGTTTTGTTGATCACTCTGGCTTCGTAGCCCTGAAGCTCAGCTCTGCCATTGCTGCTGCTCACCTGTCCTATAAACTTCTGGATCTCTGATTCAATTCCCTCCAGGGCTTCAGTGGTCATATGCATAAACCCAGCTCCCAGGAAAACACCAGCAGAGATACAGCCCAGAAGGCTGAGGACTTGGTGGTGACGACCTTATAAAAAAGCAGAAGTTACAACCCAATTGGCAGTAAGGAGACAAACAAAGGTGACTAAAGGGTAAACAAGGCTGTATTCAAGTATCTTGAGCTTGAGGATGGTGAGAATTAGAGCCAGGAATCAGGACAGTGTGAGACTAAGGTTAAAGGGAAAAAGATGGAGTAGGGCTGTACCTGTAGCTGCATCAATCCGGAACCATTTGAAGCAGATAGGAATAAGGCCACAGCCCAGGGTAAGAAACAGAAGGGCAAACAGGCAACCAATTTTTGTTCCTATTAGTGCCTCCATCTGTTGGGTACAGGACAAGCAGAAGCCTCACAACGACAAGTGGAGCAGGAGTGGTATCTTGGGTAGTCAAGAGTATCTTCACTCTCCTGAGTTTCAGGAGACTCTTGGTGTCCTCGTGTCCCGTGTCCTGGTTGCCTCTGCTACAGCACAGCTCTGCTGCATAACTCACTAGAGCCCTGCCTAGCTATGTGCCCTCCCCTACCTGGAGGCCCCTCCCCTGCCTCACGCCTTCTTGAGCTTCCAAACCAGAAACTCCAGACTCCCTGCCAGGCACAGCTCAGTGTTCCTTTTCTTCACTGCTATGACTAATTCAAGAGCTCTTGAGAGTTGTGGCTTATGCCTGGGGTTGACCTAACCCTAAATAGGACAATTTCTGCTAACTACTCTGTTATTTTGCATTGAGGACAACCTGGTCCTGCCTCATGATATGTGATCTAAGCCTTCCAGGCCCTCTCCACCCCATCAAGGTTGCTTCTGATATCTGAACCCAAGCTTTTCAGAGGAGATTTGGGGCCACCTGGGGGTAGAGGTGAGGCTGAGTGGTGCTGCAGCTGCCACTTGTGGGAACTAGCGGATGAGGGGACTCCTCTTTCCTGTAACTCCAGAAAAATAGCTCCAGGCATGGAATACTCGGTGAGGAATGGAGATTTCTAGCATTGCAATATTGAAACTGACACAATTAGATTTCTATAACTAAGCCCCCATTACAAATCTTTTTTTCTTCTAAGAGACTTGAATCATAACAAAAAAAGAGTTGATTCATTCTTTTTTCCTAAACACACACACACACACACATACACAAAACTAAAATAAAGAAGGTAGAATTAACATTCTTTCCTTTGATCAAGGTGACCTTTGGTCTCCTTGCCATTTCTATAATTATTAGTTAATAGTTTTGTTATGTCACAAAAAATAATGGTCCACCAGATGTCCACTAATAGTATAAAAGCCTTGATTTTTATCAGAACGTGTGAAACTGCCAGTTTTCTGTGCTTCTTTCCATATGTTAACAGTTGTGCTTGCTAGGATAAGGTAGATTTAAGGTTCATCCCTTTCCTTCTCAGAGGGTACTCTCTTTCTCACTCTTATATATTCTTGATTAAACTCTATAAGTGGTTTTCAGAGTTGGCTGTGCATGGTGTTCGAATCTGACTGGAGTCCACTGGCATTTCCTAATGGGAACTGTAGAAGGAAAATCAGTTGTTGGTGATACTAGGAATTGGACCCAGGGCCTAAGTGATTGTTCTACCATTTACTTGAGCCAAACACTTAGCCTGGGATTTCTTGCATTTTAAGATAAATCTGCTCTTCCATCAACCAGTAAGAAATGAACCAAACAAAAGTATCTTGCCTGGAGCTGAGTGCTGGTGGCTCACATCTATAACCCTAGCTACTCAGGAGGCTGAGATCTGAGGATGGTAGTTCTGAGCCAGCTGGGGCAGCAAAGTCCATGAGATTCTTATCTCCACTACACTACTGAAAGAGCCAGAAGTGGAGCTGTGGCTCAAGTGGAACAGTGCTAGCCTGAGCAAAAGAAGCTTAAGGACAACTCCCAAGCCTTGAGTTCAAGCCCCAGTTCTGTCCTCCCCCACCAAAAAAAAAAAAAAAAAGAAGAGAAAGTATCCTGCTTGGATATGCAAATGTGGAGATGGAATATTTGAACATGATGGGAGCCAATAGTACACACACACACACACACACACACACACACACACACACACACACACACAATCTCAGCACTGGGGAGGCTGAAACAGGATCCTGAGGTCAAGGATAATCTGGACTACCTAGTGAGACAATGTTTCAAAAATTAAATAGGCATGGTGGCCAAGTCTAAAATTCTAGCTACTCAGGAGGTTGCAGTTAGGAGGATCATGTGAGACCAACCTGGGCAAACAGTTACCAAGGCCCCACTGAAAAAGAAGACTGGAGGTATGGCTCAAGTGGTATAGTGCCTGCTAGCAAGGGCAAGGTCTTGAATTCAAACCCCAATGCCACTGTGGTATGTATGTTGAACAAACAAAAAACAAGAAAATGAAAACAAAACATACATAAAATATATGTTGGGAGGGAAGAGGGACAAGCTGCTGGTTCCCCTGTTTAGGTGGCCCATAACATCCTTGAGACCTGTTGAACTAGTTTTCAGGAAGCTGGGGGTGGCTTTCCCCACTGTTCTCGGGTGTCTTCTCAGGAAGTTCTGGTCTCTGGAAGAAGCAGCAGTAGTCTTACATGAAAGTGAGCTCCAGGGCTCTGTGGGAAGGTTAACACTGACAATCTCAGGATTCTCCCCAACTGATGCCTATACTTTTTAAAGAATTGTAAAATCCATTTTTATTCTTAAGCAATTTATTACAATCATTAAAACTTCATACAAATGCAGACACACAAGGATACTGGCTCTCCCCTCCTAGATATCAGATAGCTTTAGCTTTGGCAGGAGTGATAGAAGAAATACCTTGTGACACATTCTTGTCAACTCTCAGGGGGATCATCAGTAGGGGATGGGGGAAACTCAGCTGGAACAATCACAGGTAAAAGATCTCCCCAGGAGCTGACACGGGCACAGCGATACAAATCCTTGCCATGTCGGCGGGCTGTGATGATAGCATGCTCCATGTGCCCATCGGGACAGCACAGGTGACAATGCACATGGCGAGGCCGTTTAAGGAGAGGCTGAGTCAAACGAGGCCAGCGATTAATTTCCTCTGGAGACCCCCTGGCAAGGATCACCATAGAGAATGTTTCCTCTTTTGGCTTCTTGTTCTAAGAGAAAAATATGGAGACTACATAGAAGGAAAAGATACAGGGGAAAACAGTTTTCTCTTCTACATTCCTTTGCATATTCTATATATTGTATATATGCAAGTTCTCCGATCTGCTGGTTATACTATACACTTGCCAACTCTTCCCACCTCTGACCCGTTTTCTTCTAGCTTTCCCAGGTGATTTCTCCCCATTGCAAAATTCTTAGGATACACACCCAGCTGAAGGGGATGGGATGATAAGCCTGGGAGAAGCTACAGGCCAGGGGCGGAGAAGCTGTCAACTGAGGACAAGGAAGTTCATGGGGACACTGTGAACACAAATGAAGACATGAGATAAGACAAAGAACCATCAATCATAAAACTTAAAAATAAGAGAGCTAAGAGAGACTAGGGAGAAAGGAGAACAGGAGCAGAAGTAGGAGCAGGAAGAACTATGAGAATTACTAGGAAGAAAAGTAGATAAGGACACAAAGTAGCAGAGAGTAGCATAGTTTTATTCTCTCTTTTCCTGGTCATACCTGAGTTCAGATCTATGTGCCTGAACAGGAGGAAGCAATACTTACCGGAGCAAATACAAAACTAGGTCGTGGGTCCAAAGAAGACTTCTCTTTTCCCTAAAATAAAAAAAAATAAAGCTGGGCATAGGGCACGGGGAGGGGGGTGGGGTGGGGAGGAGGGTCTACTCTCTTTCATTCTCTTTTGCTGGTCCTGGGGCTTAAACTCTGGGGCCTTGGCACTGTCCCTGAACCTCTTTGTGCTCAAGGCTAGTGCTCTACCACTTGAGCCACAGTGCCATATCTGGCTTTTTTTTCTGAGTAGTTTATTGGAGTTAAGAGTCTCCCGGACTTTTCTGCCCTGGCTGGTTTCAAACCACGATCCTCGGATCTCAGCCTCCTGAGTAGGTAAGATTCAAGCATAAGCCACTGGCACCCAGCTTTTTCTTTTTTGTGTGTGATGATCCTGGGGCCTGAACTCAGGGCCTGGGAGCTGTCCCTGAATTTTTTTTCTTCTAGTCTTGAGGCATGAACTCAGGGCCTGGGAGCTGTCCCTGAATTTTTTTTCTTCTAGTCTTGAGGCATGAACTCAGGTCCTGGGTACTGTCCTTAAGCCTCTTTGTGCTCAAGGTTAGTGTTTTACCACTGGAGCCACTTATCAACTTCTGGATTTTTCTGAGTAGTTTTTTTGGAGATAAAGAGTCACACAGACTTTCCTGTTCAGGTTGGCTTTGATCCTCAGATCTCAGTCTCCTGAGTAGTTGGGATTACACCTGGCTTTTTTTTTTTTTTTTTTTTTTTTTTGCTCAAGACTAGTACAGCGATCACTTGAGCCACAGATCTACTTCCAGTTTTTTGGTGTTTAATTGGTGATAAGAGTTTCATGAATTTCCCTGCTCAGGCTGACTGTGAACCTTGATCCTCAGATCTCAGCCTCCAAAGTAGCTAGGATTACAAGGCAAAGACTGGCACCTGGTATATGGGATCTATTTTTATTAATTCAATCTTGGTCCTTGGTAAATTGAAGACTCCTTTAACATTGAATTCTAATAATGATGAACTGGAAGTGGCGCTGTAGCTCAAGTGGTAGAGCGCTCGCCTTGAGTTGAAGAGCTGAGGGACAACGCCCAGGCCCAGAGTTCAAGCCCCACGACCGACAAAAAAAAAAAAAAAAAATCTATATAGAGCACTAATAATGATGAACTATGTCCTTTGAGTTAAGCTGGTTACATCTCTAATACTCTAAACAAAGAACTTTCTCTTTGTAGCAGTAACTTGGCACATAGTACAGTGCTCTCCTTTGTCAACAGCCTCTCAAAAAAGAAATCTCACTCCAGGGCAATTAAATTTATGATAGCATATTGGCTTCTACTTTTATCCAGAGATAGTGTTCTTGGGTGAGCAGTCAGTAGTTTTTTATTGAGGTCAGTAGTTTTTCTTGTTTGTAGTGGGACTTGAACTCCAGGCCTGGGTGCTGACCCCGAGCTCTTTTTGCTCAAGGCTAACACTCTATCACTTTGACTCACAGTTATCACTTTGATTCACAGCTCCACTTCTAGTTTCTGAATGGTAAACTGGAGATAACAGTCCAATGGGGACTTTTCTGCCCAGGCTGACTTTGAAACGTGATTATTAGATCTCAGCCTCCTAAATAGCTAGAATTATAGGCATAATCCACTGGCACAAGCCAGTAAACTAATTTTTTTGTTGCTGTTGTTGGTTGTGGGGCTTGAACTCTGGGCCTGGGCGCTATCCCTGAGCTTTTCAACTCAAGGGAAAGCTCTACCTCTTGAGCCACAGTGCCACTTTCAGTTTTCTAGTGATTTATTGGAGTCATGGACTTTTCTGCCTGGGCTGGCTTTGAACAGAGATCCTCAGATCTCAGTCACCTGAGTCGCTAAGATTACAGGCATGAGCCACTGATGCCCGGCAGTAAACTAGTTTTTAAAGGGCTAGAAAGTAGGTAAAATATATCTGTTTCAATAACTTAACTCTGTAGTTTGTAGTAAACTAGTCAATGACCACAGAAACATGAATATACATAACATATACAAAAACAGGTGGTAGGCTAGATTTGATATGTAAACTACTTCCCTGTATCATCACCTTGTGTGTCTAGTTCCTAAGTCACTACTGCAAATGTGTGATACAGTTTCTTTAGTTTTTAAGACAATAACAGTTATTAACAATTAAAAAAACAAGGGGGAAGGCAGAAGGAAGGACAAGAAAACTTACCTTAAGGACCAGATCCCGGGCATCCATGAGAAGGCGGTGTCCAACTTTTGTTCCATTCTCTACCAAAACCTGTTCACAAATGTTGAAAATAAGCAGAAGTTTTGAATTACAAGCTATCATCAAAGTCATCAGCTAAGAAAATGCAGATAAGAGTTCTGAAAGGAAAACAGAGACTAAAGATATACAGAGATCCATGAAGGAGAAAAATTTTCATAAATGCAGACAATGAGGAAAGGCACAGAAACTACAAAGCTTCTTGAAGGGATTTCAACTCACCAGAAAACGGTTTGTCTTACGCCACAAGGTTTGAACCACCTCAGTGCGATCAGCCTTGCTGGGTAGTTCACTTAGGGCAAAGGCTGATACTACTATATCAAATTGTACCTGAGGACCAAGACAAGAAATATGTCAGATCCAGCATCTCCCTATTCTGAGACTACAACAGACTCCCAACTTTCCACCCAGTTTCTCTTATTGCTTTCTTTAATCTCCTAACATTAAATGCTGGATTACAAAGGTGAGGCCACATTTCTCCATCTGTACATTCCACACTTAGAATACTCTAAACAGTGCTACTTGCCTTGGGTGATACAGGTAGAAATTGTCTGAAATAGACACCTGAAATATGAGGCTCCCCTGATTCTGAACCACCTGTGGAAGAAAGAGATGTGATAATTAAAAGTATAAATGAAGCTTATGAACACTAGGAAAACTGAAGAGATATCTGGACAAGACACATGATCCTGAATATAAAATTAAAACACTAGATAACAAAGAGCTATAATACTGTAAATAAATTATAAAGGGATAATATCAGTTTCCCTAATCTGTTGATCTTACTCAGTCTATCCACAGTCTACCAAAGGCTTCTAGTACC